TCTATCTATCTTTATTTATTTATTTATTTAATCTATCTGTAATCCATCCATCCATCCATCCATCCATCCATCCATCCATCCATCCATCCATCTATATCTATTATCTATCTATCTATCATCTATCATCTATTATCTATCTATCTATCTATCTATCTATCTATCTATCTATCTATCTATCTATTATCTTTCTATCATCTATCTATCATCTATTATCCATCCATCTATCTATCTTTATTTATCTAACTATAATCTATCTTTCTATTATCTATCTATCCATCCATCCATACACACACACAGACACAAGCACATATGTGTGTGTGTGTTGCATTTGTGCTGATAAATAAATATATAGAAACTATATAGAGACTATCTATACTAGTGTCCCTTTATTTATTTATCAGCACAAATGCAACACAAATGTAATAAGGCAACATTAAAAAAATGCCTTTCTGCCTGGATGGCTCCCAGATGAGCCAATAGACAGAAAAGGGAAGCAGTATGCTCCCTCCCATATTTGGGCATACCAGGGGTTGTGACACAATATATGTCACAACCCCTGGTATGGTATGGTATTTTGTCTGGTATCTTCAGAGGGATAAATCTGGACCAACTGCTTTTTGACTAATAGTTTGTTAAATAAACTACAATTGGCTGGTAAGCCATAAATAAGCCATAAATTACTGCTCACAAAGCCAGGGGCTGTGTATGTCAAGCCACATTTTGTTTAGCATGATGGGCAAACAATTTCTGTTCCCTGAATACATACAGTCCTTGATTTACAACCATTTGTTTAGTGACTGTTTGAAGTTACAGTGGCACTGAAAAAATAATTTATTACTGATCCTCACACTAGTGACCATCACATTATCCTCACAGACACATGATAAAAATTTGGTTGCTTGGAAACCTGCATGTATTTACAATAATTGCAGTGCCTCAGCAATGCAGCATTACAGTGGCTGCAATGGCCATAAGTGTGAAAAATGGTCACCTTTTTTCAGTGCTGTTGTAACTTCAAACGGTCACTAAGTGAACTGTCATAAGTCGAGGACAACCTGTACTTTTCTTCTCTTCCTCCTTGTTCTTCTCCCTTGGATTAGGGACAACCAAAGAATTGAAGAGCTCTTTACCAAAAACCACCAACTGCGTGAACAACAAAAGGGACTTAAAGAAAATGTGAAAGTCTTGGAAAACAGGTAAATGGCTTCATCCTGTCACAGGGGACATCTGCACAGGAGGGGAAAATGAAAAGTGTCAAGATATTGGCCACAACTGCACAACTAAACTTTTCTCCCATAAACATTGGGCAAGGTTAAATAAATACGGTAATCCAGGTTTGGCAAATTGTGTAAACCCAGTTAATCACATCGCATAACACAGTACTGTATATGTATACCATGTTTCCCTGAAAATAAGAGAAGGTCTTATTTTTTATTTATTTATTTATTTATTTATTTATTTATTTATTTATTTATTTATTNGCCTACTTCCCTCAAATACGAGCTCTCGGGACAGTGGTTCCCAAACTTGGCAACTTTAAGACTTGTGGACTTCAACTCCCAGAATTCTCCAGCCAGCTCTGCTGGCTGGAGAATTCTGGGAGTTGAAGTCCACAAGTCTTAAAGTTGCAAGTTTGGGAACCACTGTCCTAGGGAGTTGATTTTCTGGTTTGGCCTATCTGGTAGAGCTGGCACTCCTTTTCACAACGATCCCAACTAAACACGAACCGAGTAGAGTCCGCATGGGCTACGGGGCCCAATGCCTCAGAGACTCCGGTTTGACTTTATTGCTGACATTTTTCAAAACAAACAAAGGCAGCTGTGAGGGAAGGTCAGACTGCCAAGACTCTTGACTAGCTTTTCTTCCTGAAGAGAAGAATACGGCCATTCTTTTATATTTTTTTATTATTTTTAGACCGTTTATGAACCAGATTTGTCTGAGGTGAAAGAATGGAAAGCCATTGCCCCGAGGGCCTGATCCAAAGTCGGTCTCGCGATTTGGAGCCCTCAAAGAAATCAATACTTTCCCTTCAAGGGAGTGAAACTAACTGGGGGTTTCCCACAGTCTCCTATTTACCATTTACTTCACCAACAAAAGACAATAGAGGCCATTCAGACCACCCCAACCAACCCCCTTGGCCAAAGGTCTTCAGAAAGGCCCTGAGGGTGGAAAATAAAGTTATGTTAGGGAAAGTCTTCTCGTTGATGGGGTTGCTATGTAAGTTACAGAAAAAATTAATACTGCTTCATGACAGGGAGGGTGGGAAGAAGGAGGGAGGGAGGGAAGGAGGGAGGAAAGAAGGAGGGGGAGGGAGGGACAATGGAAAGAAATGGGAAGGATGGAGGGAGGAGATGGGAGGGAGGAAAGAAATGAGAGAGAGGGAGGGAGGAAAGAGTTGGGAGGGAGGAAAGATGGGACGGAGGGAGGAAAGAAATGGAAGGGAGGGAGGGAGGAAAGAGTTGGGAGGGAGGGAGGAGGGAGGAAAGATGGGATGGAGGGAGGAAAGAAATGGGAGGAAGGAAAGATGGGAGGGAGGCAAGGTAATAAGATGGGAGGGTGGAGATGGGAAGAAGGGAGGAGGTGAGGGAGGGAGATGGGAAGAAAGGAATAAGAAAGGGAAAGAGGGAGGGAGGGAAGGAAAGAAGATGGGAGGGAGGAGATGGGAAGAAGGGAGGAGGTAAGGAGAGAGGGAGATGGGAAGAAAGGAATAAGAAAGGGAACGAGGGAGGGAGGGAAGGAAAGAAAATGGGAGGGAGGAGATGGAAAGAAGGGAGGAGGTACGGAGGGAGGGAAATGGGAAGAAAGGAATAAGAAAGGGAAAGAGAGATGGAGGGAGGAAGGAAAGATGGGAGGGAGGGAAGAGATGAGAGGGAGGGAAGGAAAGAAGATGGGAGGGAGGGAGGAGATGGGAAGAAGGGAGGATGTAAGGAGGGAGAGAGATGGGAAGAAAGGAATAAGGAAGGAAAAGAGGGAGGGAGGAAAGGAGGGAGGGAGGGAGGAGATGAGAGGGAGCCTAACATTTCTCTTGCCAAATAAGGCATTTGTTAAGTGAGATCTGCCCCATTTTAAAATCTTTCTTGCCACATTTGTTAGGTGAATCGTTGCAGTTCTTAAATCAGCAACCTGGTTGTGAAGTGAATCTGGATACCCCATTAACTTTGCTTCTCAGAAGGTCTCCAAAGGTGATCACATGACCCACCCACCCACCCAAGGGGGGGCACCGCAACTTCATAAATATGAGCCAGTTGCCAAGTTTCCACCTTTTGATTACGTGACCATGGGGATGCTTCAGCGATCTTTTTTTTTTTTTTTGCTTGAGAACTTTTCTTCTCCAAATTTGTGGCTGGGGCACAGAATAATGAAAGAAAAACTGACAATATTGGTGCGCTAAGCATTAAACAGCCTTCCTGCAACGCTCAATCGTTGGAAAGGAATCAAGGAGAGAAGCAACCTAGAACTAAGGAGAACTTTCCTAACAGGACAAATTAACCAGTGGAACTGCCTGCCTCCAGAAATCGTGGGTGTTCCATCACTGGATGTTTTTAAGAAGAAACTAGAAAGGCACTTATCTGAAATGGTATACGTTCTCTTGCTTGAGCAAGGGGCTGGACTAGAAGACCTCCAAGGTCCCTTCCCGCTCTATTCTATTATTCCCTAAATATGAAAAAATTGAGGAGGTAGCTCAACTGGATAGGATAACGTTATGCTTGATATATAAAAATTGAAATTCTCAAAGGAAACCATGTACTCCTGATGTTTAGTGATTGAAGGGGAGCCTGGAGCCTGGGGGGTGGGGGAGGAAGTGGCAATTGTTTTGTTAATACAAGTGTCTTTGATCAACAACACTGAGCTGTAATTATGGGAAAACAATCAAATCTCTATGTGGACTTTATGAAGGACTGGTCTGACCACTTCTTTGTATTATAGTGAGACTGGTTTGGCAGCTTCAGCTCCAATGAACATCCTTTCAGCTCCTGGGTTAAAGAAATGCAAACTGGAAGAGCAGGTTGGACCGAAATGCGGAAAGAAAAAAAAAAGGAAAAAAAATGGCTTATTGTCTGCGCAGATTTACCCACACTTCTTACTATCTCTGCTGCCTTTCCTAGCATGACTTCCAAGAGGGAGAAAGCTGCAGGTATCCAGGAGAGAGAAGAAAAAGAAACCGAGGAAAACTGAGTGGGGGAAAAAAAGAGAGAAGAGAGAAGATTGGGAAAAAAGATGCAGCTCATTTGATGTGAGTCTTGCTACCGGTTTAGGGATGAATTTTTACCCCAATCGCTTCTGGAATTGAACAGGGATCGTATTTAGCATATGGTTGGGAGAGAAGGAGTTTTGGGAGCCTTATTGTGAAAGTGTAAACTGGGAAAAATACGTGTGATATGTGTGTATCTTGGGAAGCAGTTCTTTGAAATGGGAACTTCTCTCTTTTTTTTTTCTCCCTATTCCGGAATTTGGGGAGATATCTGTATGCCATAACTTGAGAACGGTTTTATAGGAGCTGTCCAGAAATATTTGAGCCGTGTCCATTTTCGCTAGTAGTAAGCATTGGCTGGAATCAGGAATGGTTATCGACGGTCTAGCTGAAAACAATGGATGGGAACTAATCCAGGAGAGAAGCAACCTAAGGAGCTAAGGAGAAACTTCCTATCAGTGAGATTGATTAACCTAAAGGAACAGCTGAAATGAAATCGTGGGGGCTCCATCACTGGAGGTGTTTAAGAAGAGACTGGACAGCCATCTGTCTGAAATGGTATATACGATCTCCTGCTTGAGCAGGGGGTTGAACTAGAAGTACACGTTGCAAATTTAGCAGTTTAATGAAGGGACGTGTTTCATTTAGATTTGCTCTTCCAAAATAGAAAAGAAAAGTTCAATAGGCTTTCGTACATTTCACTAAAATAAATGTGTGCAGTGTCATAATGCACTAATGCACATAATGCGTAATACACATAATGCAGGATTTGGGTTTGGCTAGTCTAGAGAAAAGAAGGACTATGGGGGACATGATAGCAGTGTCCCACTATCTAAGGGGCTGCGACAAAGAGAAGGGAGTTCAACTTATTTTCCAAAGATAAGAAACAATGGATGGAAACTAATCCAGGAGAGAAGCAAATTGGGATTAAGGAGAAACTTCCTAACAGTGAGAACAATTAACCAGTAGAACAGAAGTTGCCTTCAGAAGTTGTGGGTGCTTCATCATTGGAGGTTTATCAGAAGAGACTGGGCAGCCACTTGTCTGAACTGGTATAGGGTCTCCTGCTTGAGCAGGGGGTTGAACTGGAAGGTCTCTTCCTGTTCTATTCCCATTGATAAAAGCTGTGCATAGGGTGATCTAAGCAGCCACCTAACTAGGGTTGTCTTCTCAGCATATCTGGAAGGTCGACATCTTTCGTGAATGACCCCCTACGAACCTCAAATTAAAGCATCCTTTTATCACTTTCTACCAACCCAATCCCCATGCGTGCTGGAGAACAGCTTGGCTTTCTATTCTCTTAGGAAACAGATTAGGGGAAATAAAAGCACCTGGCTTTAAATAATAAGTTGATTCTCAGAACAATACAAGCCGGGGTTAAAATTGACATAGCATCATGGAGTCTAGGCTTGTATGCAAACAGATTGGAGTTTTTAGGCTTGGTATTTGGGCCACGTTCTAAGATCCCTCTTAAGTTTGATCAGGCCATCTTGTGACTTCTACCCATTTTATGGGTTTGCATTTCAAACACCCGGGGAGGGAACGAATTCAGCAGTCAGATTGCGTTGCGTAAGTGTGATGCAGGTAGTCGTCGATTTACGACTGCAAAAGAGCACAACATTGATGTCGCTAAGTGAGCAACTTGTTAAGTGAGTTTCACCCCATTTTACGACCTTGCTTGCCACATTTGTTAAGTGAATCGCTGCCGTTGTTAAGTAAGTGACACGGTTGTTAAGTGAATCTGGCTTCCTCGTTGATTTTGCTTGCCAAAAGGTCGCCAAAGGGGATCAATGACCTTTGGTACACAGCGATGGTCATAAATAGGAGTCAGTCACTAGGCATATGAATTTTGAACTCGTGACCATGGGGTTGCCACAGGGGTTATAAAGGTGAAAAACGGTCATAAGTCACAAGTTAGTGACACGGTCGTTAAGTGAATCTGGACTTCCCAAGAAGGGGGTTATATGATCCCGGGATCCTCCAACCATTATAAATACAAATCAT